GCCCATCGTCCAAGACGTCGATGGATGTTAGTGATTGGCATCCCATCATCCTCGCAGATTGTTTCACTCACACCAGACTTCTTGCTGCCAGTGGCTCGGATGAGCTGGAAGAGCTTCCGGTAGTTACCAGATGCAGCTGCTGCTTCCAGCTCATTAGCACGCATCGACCACCAGGCTTCTCGGTCCTTACGCAAGCTTTGCCCAATTTCCTTACGTAACATCCTTCGTTTATGGTCAAACTCACGGTCACCCGGAGTAGACCGACGGGCTTCAATGAGTTGTAAGGAACCAGAAGAAACCCAGTGCTTAAAAGCGGGACGTTTCGCAAACCCACAACTGACTGTTCCCGCCATTTTCATGGCGTCATGCAATTGCAACCAATGCTCATCTATACTTTTCGGTGGAGTGGTAGCTAGCCTAGAGGCTAGCTCGGTTCGATACTTACTTGCAACAGAAGTTGCAACCAGCTTGCTAACATCAATCCGTTGATGGCGTCACTTCGTTGTCCACTGAAAAGTAAGGCAAGATTGGCGCAGACCAAGGCATGGTCAGAGTCCAGATAGGTACTCCAAAAGGAGCGGCAGTCTTTTACACAACCACGCCAGCGGTAGCTGATCGCGATGTGATCAATCTGAGTCCAGGCTTGAGATGCAGAGGGAGGACGCCAGGTGGCACATCGGCGATGACTGTGCCGAAAGTTAGTGCTAGCCAGAAACAGGTTGTGGTCTGTGCAAAGTTGCAGTAGACGGTCCCCGTTATCTGACCTGCGACCAACGAGTCCCCATCGGCCACCTAAACGACTCTCTTCTGTGCCTAGACGCCCGACCTGAGCATTCAAGTCTCCGGCTAGTACTACAATATCTGTCGAACGCACTTTCTGGAGAAGAACTGATAACTGGTGGTAAAACTCATCCTTGATTGCATCCGGGCTGCAATCTGTCGGGGCATAGGCGGAGATGACGAAAAGACATCGTTTCTCACGCCGATTTCTTCTCACTTTGATGGAACTTTCTAATCTAACAGCACATAACCGACTGTTAATGGGGATCCAATCGACTAGTGCTGCCTCAGCTCTAGCGCTTAGTGCGACACCAACGCCAGCAAGACCAGACGAAGATGCCACAGGGTCCCCGGATAAGCGCACGTAAAACAAGCTTTTCGAAGCGACAGATGGAGATCGAATTTGTAGTACTTCGCCAGAGTCTTGAATACGGGTCTCGGATAGACAACAAACATCGATATTAAGACTTTCCAAAGACATAGCCAGCCCTATCTGTTGTCCGACCTGCATAAATGTGCGAACGTTGAAGGCAGCCAGTTTGAATGGTGCACGTGGTTTCAGAAAAACTGCTTCAGTCCTCGTATTCGGTGGTAACATACAATTTTCAACCGGACAGTGACTCGAGAACGTTTAGATACAGTCGGATTTCCACCAAAGACGAGCCGCTGTATAAGTATAAAAGAGGGTGAATAATGTGGAAAATAATAATAATAATAATAATAATAATAATAATAATAGTATTAATAATGACAATAATTGTAATGATAATAATTTGAATCAATTGATTGTTTTTCAAAGCAAGAAAAGTAATTTCCATAGACATAAAGAGTTCATCATTTGTGTGTGGGCTGTGATACTGCCCGGGTGCCCAAACCGAAGCAGGTGGTTATCTTAGGGGGCCACACCCCGAGCCTTTGACCTAAAGGTCTAACCCACAAGGCAGTGGAGCATCGTAAGGAGATGCAGTCCCATGGTAGCCGGTGACCAACGATTGGTTCATACGCCATTTGTTCCCGCAGGATACTGGAGCCCATGTGCACCATTGTTTGGAATCCGGTTAAAGCGCCGGACATTCGCTTTTCGTCCTCTCATTTTCGTAAACAACACCCCCGCCACGAGAAGGCAATGAGTAGGACTTCCCTGGCAGAGGCTGTATACGCGTGGCCGTGTGAGAGTATTTCGAGAGGGAGAGCGGACTCCCCCACTCTTGGCCGTACGAGGGCATTCGGGGGCTAATGTTTAATAGAAATTGTATGTAACATGCACTTACCCACCAAATGAATAGAAAAATGACCAAAACTACTGGGAACAACATGCATACTGTACATTGCTAAAAACTTATACAAGCCTCAATCACTTCGTTTTACTAAACATTCGGAGTAATGATTATAGTAGAGTTTAGAGAGTAGCAATAAACTTTGTCAATTTCATGATGATGAAGTAGGAATTGGATTCATGTAGTTTGTAAAAGTCCAGATCAAATTATAAACCAAATAAGAATTGGGATTTTACTTAAAATCATAAATAACATTTCATAAGGACTGAAATATATCGAAAGCTAAATTTGCGCAACTGATTACCAATGACAAATTTAAACACACTCCAATCATCATGTGGTATATGCTACTCATGTTGTCAGATATAAATTACATGTAACATCAGTCAGAAGTGGAATGGCCGGTAGGGTGGCGTTGGCTCTAACAGTCTCAGTCGACGGAGGGAAGTAGTGAGATATCCGGTTACTGGGTCGATATGACATGTAGATGGCCCAGCAGATCAACACTGTTACGGAGGTCTGTACACCTGCTTCAATCAACGTTTCGATGGACAACGTGGCACAGACTGAGGCAAACAAGGAAGTGGCACAGCAACAGTGACTTTCTTTTAAACGGGAGACGAGAGTAGTATATGCTAATTCTGTTGACATATATATATATAAGTAGTACGTAACACTCATCCGAAATGGAATACCTGACAGCAGACGATTACGAAGATCAAATTGAAGACAACAGGAATATAAACTGAGAGTAATTGGTATAACAGCAGGAATGTAGGGAACAATGAATTTGTAAGGGAAACATTTAAAAGGAGTTGTACAAATAATCTATTTAATTTCATACACATAGTTCCTTTTATTATCTTAAAGAGAGCAAGAACAAAGATTGGTGCAGAATAATGTGGGTCCATTTTATTTCGTTAGGTTCTCATCAGCTGCTTACAACCTAAAATATTTAAAATGCAAAATTATTACAGATATTGACATACTTATACATAGGAGTGTGATTAAGGATGAATAAATGTATCATGATGTAGTGAAGATTCAGAAAGAGTTAATGAGGTCATAAAATTTTGTCTCGAATAAATAGAGTTTGAGAGGGAAAGTTCCGGAACATTGAAATAGTGATTAGAACTCATGAAAATATGAAATATGAAATGACGTATTATTCGAGGTATGTTGATGATACCTTCATCGTATGTAATAATCATCAACATGCAATAAATCTGTTAAAGTTTTTCAACGAAGCCCATCCAAATATCCATTTCACTATGGAACATGAAAAAGAAATCAAGTTCCATTTTCTCGATATTGCAATGAAACGAAGAAAGGATGGTACAGTTCAACGTTCACTTTATAAGACACATGGAATGGAAGTTATCTTAAATTCAGTAGCTTTTGTCCAATCAGTTACAAAAAGGCACTGGTCAAAACACTGTTTCACAGAACAGAAAGAATATGTACTTCCGATACACTAGAAGAGGAAGTTATGAATGTTAAAAATGTTTAAAGAATAACGGATACCCACTGAAATTTATTGAGAAATATAGCAAACGTGAAGATAAAAAACCCAAAGAAACTACAGCAAATAAAAAGTCTATTTTATTCAACTTCAATTCAAAGGTGACGATGTCACAGGATCAATCAATATGAGACTAAAAACTGCATTGACAAGAACTTATCCTACAGCGAAATTGATTGTCCTATCCAAAACAACATGTTCTTTGACACAATCAAAGGTCGACAGGTATCCCTTTCATGTTACCACCAACTGTGTATACAAATTTACATGTATCTGCCAAAGCAGTTACATTGGTAGAACAGAAAGGAGAGCCTACGTCGGATTCAAAGAACATATTCCGAAAAATTTAAGATTAAATGGATTAAAAGCATCCAGCAGTGCTATCACAAGACATCTCCTTGACAAAGGACATGAGGTTGATATACTGAAGTCCTTCAAAGTGATTAATAAACAATCAAACTCCAACTCCTTGAAATTACATCATACATAACTGACTGATTTCAATTCATATTTTCTTTATTATCATCACTATTTCAATGTTCCGGAACTTTCCCTCTCAAACTCTATTTATTCGAGACAAAATTTTATGACCTCATTAACTCTATCTGAATCTTCACTACATCATGATACATTTATTCATCCTTAATCACACTCCTATGTATAAGTATGTCAATATCTGTAATAATTTGAATTTCAAATAATTTAGGTTGTAAGCAGCTGATGAGAACCTAACGAAATAAAATGGACCCATATTATTCTGCACCAATCTTTGTTCTTGCTCTCTTTAATCTATTTAATGTAAGGTTTTAATATTTTAACAAGTCATTCACGCTTCATTTATGGTTTATGATTTATAATTCGTAATACAATTCAAGCTAAACTCACTCAAAAAGTGATTATCAACTTTATTGTATTCGAAAATTTGAACAAAATATATGCAGTTCATCTTAACCAAAATTTGACGCAATAATTCGTGCTTAATCTTCTAAATCAGGACATGACAAAATATCAGTGATAAAAGTCTAATACTCATCTTGTGTTATGGTCAACTTATTGCTTATTGACTGTAGAACTGAAATCGATTGATGAATCTGGCAACCTAATTAAGTGCTCATATACTCTGTTTCTCTGTTAGCACCAATCGATTCACACATTGAAATCATATTACCCTTCACATTATTGGAAGACAATGAACAAATGACAACTTTGAAATCACGTATTTCTTTCTCTACCTTGACACATTATTATAGTCACTTTCAAAGTTTACAACATTCTACATACGGATAGGTTGTTGAAAATCGACTGGTTAAAGACACGTCTCTCAAATTGTGACACTATTCTGATCTGAACTGAGAATACATCCGAATTTGTAAACATAGTTTTACACATAACGCACGACCAGTATACAATCGGTTCGACAAATGTCTGAGACGATTGGGACTTGGCACAAAGCATGTTGTATTTCGAAACGATTAGATGGGAAGTTAGCCATTGTCACTGGATCGAACACTGGTATCGGGTTAGTGACAGCTGGTGAATTAGCTCGTCGTGGTGCTCGAGTCATCATGGCATGTCGAAATCTACGAAAGGCTGAGGATGCCAAAAGACGTCTATTGGAGAAATACGGTGCCGATAATCCACAGAGTGTGAACATTGATGTAGCATGTAAACAAGTGATCTCATCGTTGAGTCCAATCTACAGTGACCAAGTGAGTTCATTGATTTTACAATCGATTCAAGTGAATATGTGGCTGAATATTAGTTATTGGTTTATGTTAATATTGAAGTGTGATGTTTTCATTTAAATGTTATTGAACAAACCTGAAATCTGTTGAGCAGAGGACAACATTTCCATTCATCCATTCATGGAGCCCTTACATTGTGGAGTCGATATGTTAGACTATCATTCTGTTCTACAATAAGATTTAGTAGTGTAATTTAATTGTGCTGTTCTATATTCCCGAATGTAGTCAAGATGAAAAGAGGATACTTACATTCGACTCCACGTAACTTCTGAGTATGACGAAATTCGAAGACCAGTTTTTAATCACAGTGGCTGAATCATAAATAATTGATTCTGATTTATGATAATATTTGTATTGTTGATGTAACGGATGTATATTCTAGTTTATCGATAACTTCCATGACGATTCCGATTTCTAATTTATGTAAAAGAAATAAGCTAAATTTGAACCTGAATGTGAGTCCATTGTTATCTCATTAATTCTTCTTTCATAATGTTGAGAACGAAATTAACTTTATTTAAAGATTATCTTCTGGAAAGCTAGTGTTCATTTATTTTCCTGATATTTGTTTGCATATAAACTCGGTTATCTCAACTAGTGGAACATTTGTTTATAAAGACACAACATCTAAATTAATTATCTTTTCTTTCCATAAACTACCTTGACCGGTTCTATATTTTCCTAAACCATCATAAATCTAATACTGTATATTAGAGTAAGGCCTGATAAAGAACTATTTGAAAACAATATTATTCATTTATATATGTTGTTTTAACTTCATTTTCATCCCATGTGGTCCATGGTTATTATCTATACAAAACATACTTCAAAATTATCTTTCAGCTCATCATTGAACAACTTGATTTGGCTTCTCTACAATCAATCAGAGAATTCGCCAGACGAATCACAGTCAATTATTTAGAACTTCATTTTCTTATTAACAATGCCGGTCTCGCAGTTAGTAAATATGAAGAAACTATTGATGGTTTTGAAATAACAATGGGTGTTAATCATTTTGGACATTTCCTTCTAACGGAATTATTATTACCTTTATTAAAACGTTCGATACCATCGAGAATCATTATTCTGTCATCAATAGCACACTATAGAGGCCGTTTAATTAAACCAGATTTGCAAATTCAACCAAAAAAATATGGTGAGGTTAAAGCTTATTGTCTTTCAAAGTTAGCCAATACAATGCATGCTGTTGAATTAAGTGAGCGATTGCGTGATAGTGGAATCACTGTTGTTAGCGTCCATCCTGGTGTTGTAAAAACTGAAATTTTACGAGACGTGAAAAGTTTTGCATTGGTAAGTTCAAATGATTAGTAAAAACTAAACAACTTTTAATTTTTAGTGTTTATTATCCTACTAACTTACTTACGCCTGTCAACGCTCGTGGAGCAGTATAAGGCTCTCACCACCATTCTACAACCAACTCCATACTGGACAATACTTTACAGTTGTTTTCAATTCCTATTCATCATTTTCATGTGTGCCTCCTATTCCCAACACAGTGTGTTCATTGGTCTTCTTCTTTTCCTCTTCCATTCACCATTCCGAGTTAGCACTTGCTCGTGATACAGTTTAGTGATTTCCGTAATGCATTTTCTGTCCACATCCAACGTCATTTCTTAATTTCCTCCTCAAATGGAAGTCGGTTTGTTCTCTCCAGCAGTAGATTGGTCCTGATAGTATTTTGTGCAGACAACTGCTTGTAAATATTTGTACATTTTGATGATGGTTGTGGTAGTTCTCCAAGAATCGTCTTCATTCAGTAGAATTGTCTTAACGTTCGTGTTGAAGATTATGACGTTGATGTTAGTTGACAGTTGTTTTGAGTTCCATATGTTCTTCAACTGTAGAAATGCTGTCGTTGCTTTGCCAATGCTTGTCTTTACATCTGCGTCAGATCCTCCTTGTCCACCGATGGTGCTGATGTTCACCTTTTCCAAAGTTTCCCCATCAAGTTTGATTGAGTTGATGTTGAGGTCTACTGCTTCAGAGGCTGGTGCTACACTGGCTGTATTGACCTGTATTTGTTTCTGTGAATGATGTAGAATGGCTAGGTCATCTAAAAAGTTCAAATCGTCTAGCTGCATACAGATATCCTACTTGAGAATGGAATATAGTTCATGTTTTTGAAACATGTAAATTAGTGTAGAAAAATATCATGATTCTGGGTAACTTGAACAGTTCTACACCGATTAAATTTTTATTCAACAACAAATATAAAGCTCACTTGAAACTACAGTAATCAGAAACACTCAATCACTTGAGTGGAACGAAGGCCTTGATTAGTTTGTATTCGATACAATACCGTTAAGATAATTCCATGCATGTGAAAATGCACACAAAAGTAGCGGAAAGTAAACAAATTACCAGTCCTCAAACGACAAATATATGGGTCTACAGAACGATAGAACAGATTACACCATAAAGTGGCCCAAGATTTCAAATACCAAAAAATTGCTTAATGATCGAAAAATTTTCGAAGAATAATAGGATGGGAATAATTTACAGGTTAGAAATATGGCAGATGATTATTTAACTAACAAATATCATGAAAAAAACAAACAGCCTAAAAGGCATAATAATCATGAAGAATTGATAGAGATTAATAATGACTAATAATAAATTCACTTGGTAATGTTTACTTGAATCTTCCCATTGATGTTTAGGACTGCAATCGATCACCCATTGCATAAGCAAGTGGCTATCAGGACTCACTGTCTAATAGGATAACGCGATAATGTTTGAAGCGGGCGGTACTGAGTTCTAGTCCCAGAGTAAACATCAACTCTGAGATGCAGGCGCATCCAGCTGACGAATCCCAAATAAGATGAAACGCACGTCCTGGATTCCACTGTTAGCTACTTTCCATCTTCGCTTATAATGACTGACAATAGTTTAAAAAGTATAAAATAACGATAAGAGCAAAAACAAGACCAAAACATACCCGTAAAGGGTATCAGAAGCATAGAAGGATGAGAGATTAGAATGACTAAGCAGTGCATAGATTTTTAATTCAACCTCCCTTTGATCTATTTCTTTTAACTGTGTGCAGGATGATTCCTTTGGAACAACATACTTAGAGTTTTTCAGGTGCTCTTCTATTGAGCGATTGTGGTAAATGGAACATGCCCCAGAAGATCAAGTAAACTTATAGATGTACATCGTTGTGGGTCAGAACGAGAGTTTATTCCTAACACATTCATGAATGTTAGGCCAGCTTAGAGAGACAATATGACGTTTAATTGAGTAGAACGTTTACCTCAGGGATCCTGAAATTCATTTGTTCGAGGTTCAGCTGCCATATCTCCTTTAAATTCAATATTCGTAGAGTTTTCTTTTGAACTATCAGCGATCTTTCAGGAAGTAGTTTTGCTGTTAAGTTTACATCAATGAGTCTAGCTGGATAGTTATTTCTGATGAGTATTTGTCGAAGTTGAAGTATTTATTCGTCTGTTGTGTCATGAAAGTATATTTGACTGGGGATAAAGGGTGTATTAGGTTTCTATTTCTATTCAATGGGGCCCAGCAAGGGAAATTCATATACTGATCACTCCAGGTCGCCTTATTATGTATAGATCTTTGTAAGGAACTATCTGAACAAGAAAAGAAATTCCGCGTTCACATCTGCTTCTAATGAAAATTTAATTAAATGATGAAAACTATTGAATTAATCCAAAATATTAATGAGTTCCATATTTTCTTCACAAATAATGAGAGTGTCAGCCATATATCTCTTATATAAATGAAGTCTCCTTATTATTGATTGAAGTACCGTATTTCCATGAATACATTAAACTACCTGCTTCCACTATACCAAGACTATATGAACTACCTACTGCTCATGAAAATATTATGCCTCTACATCCCGTACTTTATATGAACAACTCTCCGTATCATTTGATTGTTAAATGGTTAGCTGGAATTTTACAACCAGTCGCAAATCACATCAACAGATACAGCATTGACTTATTGACTTATTCGATTTTGTAGATCAAGTTAAGCTTATTCACGTAAACTTCAGAAAAATGATCTCATTGGATATTACTTCGCTCTTTCTAAATGTTTCAATCACATGAGTTATGTGCTTTTTATGTGACTATGTTGAAAACAACAGCAGTGATATTTGTATCCCGAGACATAATCTATAAGAACTACTTCGATTTACTCTCAATATACAATCCAAATTAAATAATTATTTTTTATAGATAAACGGATGGAGTTGTTATGCGTTCATCATTGGGCCCCCACTTGGCTTATTGTAACATGGCCAATTTATAAGTAACACTGTCATCAAGGTATAAAATTTTGTTGTCTAATTCCTCCTCTATTAAGGAATTATCAAGTTCTCACCTCTATTAGCTTTTGGTTACGTCGACTTAATGTAGAATATAATTTACTTTTTATTTTGGAGTAGACCATAATAACTCATATTAAGGTGATTCAAGCTCAGCTTGTACTACTGATGATAGTGACATTCAATTTAAATGATACTCAATGAATGTTTTTGTTACTAACACATCCAATTTAATGAAACTTATCACTGAAATCATTCTCAAACTATCAATCATGACTGAATCACAAGCTCGTCTATACTTATCATTCCAGATGAGTTCGATTTTATGATGAAATAGTTGTCAAATTACCAAAGTATCAACATCAAATGATGTTGTCGTAAAACTATGACTCTTCATCCACTTATTCTGTCAGTAACTAAATGACTCAAGTAAAATGGGTATGACTTACACTTTAAGATATTCATTGATGAATCTTCTTAAATACCTTTCATCGGTCGGATTCACCTACTTCAACATAATGTAATCCATTTACTGGTCACGTTGATGTTTATTATCTTTTAAATAGTATTTCATAACAAATTTATTATTCCTGATGGATGTATTATTCTTCCTAATTTTTATTTAGAAATGTTTCATTGCAGTGAATAGGCCAAGAGTAATTAGTCCATGGAAAGGAGTACAGACTATAATGTACACAGTGTTGTCAGACAACTTAATCTCTGGTGGTTACTATTCAAATTGTGCATTAAAAGAACCGTCAAAAATAGTTAAAAATAAAGAGGAAATAATATGGTTACGGAATAGAACACGTGAACTCCTTGGAATAGATAAATTAGTGACTGCTAATGATTAACAAAATGTAATTGCACAAAACGAGAAATGTTGCTATTCTACTTACAAATAAATTTATGATATATCATAATCTTCGTTAACATTCTATAAATTAGATGGCATATACTGTTTAACTTCAACTAGTTACTCAGCTACAAAACAAAGTGGTTTTTACTTGTCCAGTAAGAGGTTTGAGTGTCTGTAATCCGACTGTCCAAAATTGTACGTATTACATTATGATAATTAGAAGCATTCAAAATGGTTTGCTAACTAAGACTTCTCAAAATAGTGCAGTTTAAACAGGCAGAATTAGATGAGCACAACTGAGATTCGTAATAAGCGCATAATCAAGTACAAAGGAATCATCAGTTGGTACAAATACCACATAGATTTAAATGAAATTACATGGAGAGACAGGATGAAGAACAAGACCGTTTTCATACTAGGCAGTTGTAACTACTAAATGATTTTTTTCTACTCATTTTTTCTGAACGAATGATATATATACTTGAATACTTTGTTCACAAAAAAGCCAGTTAGTACTGAATGAAACAGAGAGGTAGCAATAGTTTGTTAATAAATTAAGTATTAGTAGAATTGTAATCTAGCGTCATTGATGAATAAGGAGGATCTGACGCAGATGTAAAGACAAGCATTGGCAAAGCAACGACAGCATTTCTACAGTTGAAGAACATATGGAACTCAAAACAACTGTCAACTAACATCAACGTCATAATCTTCAACACGAACGTTAAGACAATTCTACTGAATGAAGACGATTCTTGGAGAACTACCACAACCATCATCAAAATGTACAAATATTTACAAGCAGTTGTCTGCACAAAATACTATCAGGACCAATCTACTGCTGGAGAGAACAAACCGACTTCCATTTGAGGAGGAAATTAAGAAATGACGTTGGATGTGGACAGAAAATGCATTACGGAAATCACTAAACTGTATCACGAGCAAGTGCTAACTCGGAATGGTGAATGGAAGAGGAAAAGAAGAAGACCAATGAACACACTGTGTTGGGAATAGGAGGCACACATGAAAATGATGAATAGGAATTGAAAACAACTGTAAAGTATTGTCCAGTATGGAGTTGGTTGTAGAATGGTGGTGAGAGCCTTATACTGCTCCACGAGCGTTAACAAGCGTAAGTAGTAACTAAGGCTTATCATCGGAATTTTCGAAGGTCGAAACATCTTTCTGAACACAACTAAGACCATGAAACTAAATATTTAGGTCCTGACAACTAGTATGTGTTCACAGATGTAGAGAAGGAGTACCTTGATGGTTTAAATTATGGTGAAATTTTACCTTAATGTCATGGGTAACTTCGTTACAAAACACTTGATTAACAGTATCGGCTTATTCTTCCACATCCAGTGTACCTTCGAAGTAATTGAGGTTTACGTCAGTTTTCTACGCCTCACACTTCTGTGAAATATAAAAGCCTGTGAATCTCTTAAAACCTGTTAAATCCAACATAGAACGAGTTCTTAGACTGATGATATGTGGACAGAAATTAGGTTTAAGTTTTCTGAGATCATCCTGTTCGTACTTGTATTTGTGTGTATGTATGTGAGCAAGAAAACCACTCCTATGTGCATCATATACAGTGATGATGTCACAGGTATTCAGTGTTTCACAACGCTTCTACCAGTAACACCTTCTAATATGTTTCGTTCCCACCAAGAGAAATCAAAAGACAGAGTCGAGGAGATCGGAAGAGTATATTTGGCGATGACCAATATATCGGGATTCTCTGATCTAATCTGGCTAGCGATTGCGGTTGATGTTGAGCACGGCGTTAACACACGTGATCTGGTGCGGATGCCTGACCGAGCGCCTTCAGCTAGATGAGTCCACTAAAACATATGGTCAGCATCCAATGTCGAAAACTTAGTGCTATTTATTTTGGGGATTTATTTACCGCTACAACAGCATCAACATTTTTTTCTACCCAAACACTAAATCTCCTATCCCATCCATTTATTTCTCGCATATGATATTTAATCTTGATCTTGGGCAAGCTTAATACTGAAGTTTACTGAGAATTGTATTTCTTCCAATCTGTTATTTCTATCTTTAATATTCCCTAACTGATAGCGACTTTTCGATTGACCTTTGAGTATGGAGGCCTCCGTATCCATTGTCTTAAATTGATTGATTTGAAGTGCATCTCCAGTTTGTTGTCGAGGCTTATTTTCCTTGAATAGTAACTGGCTATAACAGGAAAAAGACGATGAAGAGCCCTTGAAAGTGTTAATTAGAAATCATCGTTATTTCTTTGTTCTTTCTCCCTATTTCCCACTTTAACTTTTATTCAGGACTCATGTAAACATATTTTACGTCCCTCAGCACTCACTGATCAGTTATTTATGATACGACCTTCTTTAGGATTAACCTTTGACTGACTTCTGGAAACTATTACTCGAACCACTGCAAATAGATATTTGAACCCATCTTGTTGGAGGGTGTACTCTTAATGATTATAAGTCACTGAAGTATTATTTATCAACCATTTCTTTTGCTGTTTGATAAGCATTTGTGCTAGAAAAGTCTCTGACTGTAGAGCATGGGTTATAATGTTTCAGATATTTTGCAATTTTTATATACTTCTTTCAAAAATAGAACCAGTTAAATTGAGTACATAGTTTTTATCTAGTGTTGGTATGAACTAATGATTTCTTTGTACTTGTTGAATGCTTGATTTCGAATTCCAAATACAATACATTCGTTCGTGTTTATCTAACACTTCTTGATTAAATTACATTATTTCTGGGATTCCTAGTTTGTACAATAATTCAAATACTTCTAGTTATCACATTTTTGTTTTGGCATAATGATTCAAAACGGCTCTGTACCCCATTGAGAGGAATGTAGTTTGCTGCAGTCGAATGAACTCTGGTTCATTAGCTCTGCGTTCATACCAACAACTGAAATTTTGGCAGGCACACTAGTTGTAATGGACAAAACAAGCTGAAAATCCTTCCAAGACATCTTACTGTGCGGTATTGTCATTGATCCCTTTTTCTCCCGGTCTTGCATTTTAACCTTTATTCAGGTCTATTTTGACCACACCGTATGTTCTTCAGTCTTTCCCGTGTGAGCTTTTATTGTGTGGCTCTGGTTAATGGCTTTTGTTACTTAATTTTACAGGTGTATGTTGCCTGACTATTGACAACAGGGTCGTGTCCAAGTAAAACCAGGGCTTCGGCGTGGTTCATTGTATGACTGTCAACCTTTAGGTGTCTGCTTGGACAGGTCGGAGGAACCGTTGATTCTCAGGTATCAAAATATTATAAATTAACTATTCCTTTTGTCTAAATAAATAATATATTTGCAATATCCCAAAGAGTATAAAAATTAGATTGTCTGAAGTTTCGTGACTCAGTGTAAACCAATTCTTTCAGAGGTTGTCTTGCGACTCTGGATAAATAATTTCTGTAAAGTAAAAAAGAGGGTTTAGGATCATTCCTCTAAGGATCCCACCTGTTATCGGTTCCTAATGTGACAGTTCACAGTTTACTTTCACTCGTGTCCTCTTCTCACTGAGAAAGTCAGTCCAATCGCAAACTCCATGATTTATACCAGAAATTAATAGTTTTGGACCCTAGACCTAGGTGATAAGCCTTATGAAGAGCTTTGCTTAGACCTATGAAAACTACGTATGCCAATATATTTCTATTTTTATTGCATTCCAATCTTCTCTTGCGATGATAAGACTAGTCAAATATGAAAGAGCTGTTCCCCAACCATTCTGTTGCCCGATTAGTTGGTATTTCCTTTCCATCCTGCCATCCAGTTAGCTGGATGGTAGTCGTTGACTAAGTGCTCATTCTCAGTTTGTAGATAATAATGACTGTTGGTTCCTTCCAGTCTCTTGGTGGTTTTTTCTTGTTTAGAGACATATATCGAACGTTATTGCTAGATTTTTTATAGTTATATCCTCTCAAGCTCCTATGATTTGAAGGTGGATGTCATCAGAACGATTAGACTCATCTAGTTTGAAGTGAAATGGTCATATGGCAACTCCCTCCTGAACAAACTCATGAACTTTCAACAGTACGGTATTCTTTGGTCTAGCAACTATATTTTCACTTTCATCAGTGGAAAATACTGCTGGAGCAGATTTGTCAGCTTCATCTATGTATTTTCCTGGAGCGAACACGGCAGGATCTCACCCTTCCCCTGGATTCGTTTGTTTAAGTGGCTCATCAACAACTCGGGTCTTTTTTTAAAGTCGCAGACCAGGTCTTGGAAGGAATTCAACAATTACTCCCGCCATACAATAGCCTCCTAAGTTCTCCAGTCAGTAAAAAAATAGATTGAGACTTAGAAAGAAATTTTATAGCCAAGTCGAAAGGACCTCAGCTCAAGATAAGCGAAAAACCTCAGTTCGCAATAACCCCATTTTTACGATTAACTTAAAGGTTCACTCTAATCTGCCCCTCAGTTTTCAAAGCAAAAACGATAGAATACTGGGGAGGGATTTAAATAAGAAGTTTAAACTTTCTAAAGTAAGGCTAATAAAAGTCACACTACCTACTTCATACAATTTTATCAAAAGCTCGACTCATCAGAGACTCCTTCATGTCACATTTACGGGGAATGAAAAGGTTAAGGAATTTTAGCTGGTCAGTCACTTGGTTAAACCTGAAAATGTGCGTACTCTGCCGGATACATCATATACGGAGCGCAATCTAATCAGCAGTATCCCAAAGGAATCCGGGAAAACGTTATTTTGTGGAAGGGTCGTTGTTGTGCAATGAATTCCGGAAAACCTATATATTAAAGTTGAATCCTAACATATTCACAACTATTTATAAAGTAGTCCTTAAAATCTTAAGTATTTTTCGCCCAACAAGTAACTTGATTGATCACAAGGATTTGACTCTAGGACCTTGTCAATGAAAGTACCCTTCCTATCACCACAGATAGTAAGTAATCTAGAGTAATTTAGTGCCAGCAGATTTCGGCTACTTAATGGAACCCCCGCACACCCAGACAAGC